AGGAAATTAAACTTGTTAATTGTTAGCCTGATCGTTTATCATTGGTCTATCGCGTGATAAATCAGGGTTGGATCTCTTAGCTTAGCTTAAAAACCGTAAACTCTTTGTGTGTGTGTATATATATACTCTGGTAACCGTGTCAACTCTTCAATAGTTAGTTGCACTGGTCCATCCTAATGACCTGCTTTTATATCCTTCAAAAATAATACCGTAAGCATAGGCCTTAGGTTAACTTGTTAGGCCTAATTATATAGTGTAACGATTCATAAACCTATAATTTCAGATTTTTTTTTTTTGAATGAATACACGTTGAAATGAACGATGAAGTTGAACCATTATATAACTTGTTCAATTGAAGTGGATTAACTGGTCTTTGAAAGTAGAAACATCTTTAAAGAGTAGATGTGCGATGGGTAAAAATTAAAAACCCTACCTTGGTAAATAGATACCATTTGAAATGGAAAGGTTCATTTGGTTAAAAATGTGTATTTTGCCTTTTTATTTTCTAAGGGCATTTGCCATATTAACAAAAGTATCCCTTTAGAAGAGGCAAACTTTCACTCTTCATTGTTTGTTAAATCTTAATCATACAAGTCAAAATTCGACACTCTTCTAGTGTGTTGGGTGATAAACCTTTGTGCCATTAAAATTCATTAGTATTAGGCCTATTATATTTTTAAACGCTACATTCAGGATATATTCAATGCAAATCACTTCTCATTTGAAGTGAAAAGTTTATGTTTTTAATGCAAATGAGATTTGTTGGTGAAATGAGACTAATAAAGAAAGCTAAGAATTTGTATATATACATATATATATAGACTGAGCCATTTGCAAAAAGCATTGAATTGTCTGCATAAATTCGTGCTTTCCATAAAAATAATTATTGATATTTATAGCATGTTTCTCAAATAATGGACATATCGGAAACTTAAACCTAATCTAGGAAATATTTAAAACTTAAACAGAATGTTCGAAACTACAACAATATATATATATATAAGCAGTCCTGTATATAATTGTTAGATAATAATATCTTGGCTCATAAGTTACTGCAAGCTTATCTATATAATATTTTCTTGTCGTGGTTTTTTTCTTTTTAACTTACCATGAACAATGGGTTTTCATACTCCTATATCAAAATACTCCTTGAAAGAATTGTCCAAATTCACCTTGATTATTTCGCACGAGTTTTCTGAATTAATTAAAAACTATGATTAAAACATGGAATAAATTATACTCTCTTAACTTTTCAGCTGTTAATAGTTTTTCACGAAAACCGAAGTTGTACCGTCATAAACAAAACACACATGTGCATCTATGAAGTATTGTAAATTATTTTACTAAATGAACCAGTAACATTGTTGGTTATATCTACTATAATGATAAAACATTCTACTTACGAGAAACTAAAATATCAGAGTAAAATGTAATCTCACTTTAAGACCTGACATGTTTAATTAACAAACTGTTTCACTATGAACAGCGAAATACATGTTTTTATTTCGAACTTTACATACCAACCGGAAATTGAACGCCACAATATTAATAAAATGCCAGTAAGTGAGTGTCATAAGACTAAATATATATGTGAATGTATTAATCTATCGGGTAAAAAAATAAAAAAAATAAAAATCGGAAGTCTAAGCGCCATTGTCAATTTCAAATAAGTTCATATAGCCACTTACGTGAATAAGTATAAATGTAAAGTAAAAGGTTCCATTTGTATCATTTACATGAAACCTTTTATGAAAAGTGTTAAGATCGAAAAGTCTCGTGTTTGCTTCGTGGATATTATTAAAAACCTTGTAGTAGTTTAAAATTAAATATTTGAAATGCTTTGGGTTCCATTTTGTAAAAACTTTTCTGAATATTATTTATTTCAACCTTCATATTCTAGTATAGTATCATATAAGTGCACATATTCCTATAGAAAACAAGCAACCAGCCTCGAAGTTGTTTCGATGTTTATTTCCGATATAGACGTGATAAAACGATAAACAATCTAATTAATAATGAGAGAAAGACTGTACTTTCAGAAAAAAAAAACCATAACTCGCTGATGTCAAACTCAGAGTCTTTTAGAAAATATTTCCACATGATCTCACACACAATTTCTCAAAAACCGTTCAGGCTTAGAGTAATGCTATTGACTAATAACTGATACCGTAAGATTTACTAAGAAGTTAAGAAAACGAAAGGAAACATGTTCACTAATAAAATGACTCGAATGTCATTTCTATTCTGAATGATTTACAGTGTCCGTACAAAGAAATTCAAATCAGGGGCAAAACGAGTAATAATATTTACTCGTAATATCATTATGAAAGGTGTACTTGATTCACCCAATTAACACTCAGGGTAAAGGAAGGCACAATATTTGGCTGAGTGGAAAGAAATTGAATCTATTTACAATTATTGAGCCTGTCCGAGTTTTCTGAGAAGGCAATGGAATGACTTCTAGGACAATGTATAGATAAACTAACAATCTTGTTTGAAGTTTCAAACAAGCATTTTAAATAACACAGTATTTATTTTTAACTGAATGTTCAGCATATATCAGTTCAAGTAAGATTTATAATTTAAAAAGTTAATAAAGTATTTCAAATACCTCATATCGTAGTGAAGTTATTGTTTTCGGTTTTCCCAATTAAATGTCTTCAGAAAGTTTTTGACGAGCTAATATCGATATACATATATTTTCATAAATATGCAGCTTGTGGAAAAAAAAAACACACACACAAAGAAATGTCATATGATGCTAAATATTAAGAATACCGATAGCTTTACTTAAAGTTTTAATATATTCCAAAATAAATAATTATTAAAAAAAAGACTTGTAACATAACATTATAAACGCAGGTCCAAGAACAAAATTCAACAAAAAACTGCCCTATGAACAGTTTTAAAGAATTTCAAAAACCTAAACATTACATCACGCATTTATATAACTTAAATGTTTCTGGACATGATTTCCTATTCACAGAAGGGACGACAAGCCCTCACATATATTTGCTAGATAATTGTTTAGCTAGTTCAGTGTATTTTAAGAACTTAGAGTGAGGACTTTCCTCTTCTGGTATCATTGAAGGTGGTGGAGATTCTTTCGTTACCGATATCAGTTCACTTGGTACTTTTCCACCAGAAACGTCAGGAATATTTGCGTCTTTCACAAAATGTATTTTACTCAGGTGATGCCTATACGCACCCTTAGAAATGAAATGAGTGTCACAAAAGGCACACTTCATTAAGGAGTCTGACGTTTTGGCGTCATTACATGCCCAACTGAAAGCCAAGATGGATCCAGGTGGAGACTGAATGCCAGAACGTGAAACATTGTCATGCGTTTTATCCAACAATTTTTGAAGTTCTCGAAGAGGATGGCCAGTAGCTGACTTTTCAACATCGTTGGAATGCTGCGAGTTATTTTTTTCTGATTTTGGATTAAGATTTACCAAAGATAATTTAGAAGTATCACTTAAGGATGGACTGGATTTACCTTTGTCTTGAAAAGAAATGTTTGTTGGTTCGGCCTCGCTTCTACACATAATAGCGTTCATTTGGCACTGAGAACGACTTATCTTAGATACATTTTCAACAGTTTTATAAGCATTAGAAATAGTATTCGACTGATCTACCTCGGAGTAAACATCAAAAGAATCATCGGTGTGGTTGGTAACGGGACTTTCAGTTTGTCCTCTTGTGTAACAAATATTATGATTTTCTTCTTCTACGAATTCTTCGGAGAAGGTGTTTTGGTAAGGTGTTAATTCGGAGTTGGAAGATTTTAATGTACTGGAATCATTTTTCGGTTCTGAAGTGGAGGATAAGGAAGATGTATGTTGCGTATTATCGGAAGACGGTTCAGACTTTTTATTCAAAATTCCTCGTTCCTTATTTATTGAAAAACTACTCTTTTGTACGTTATTGTTAACCACGTTATGGTTATAAGCAAACTCTGAACTTATGGAACATAAATTTATATTAGCTGTTTTCTTGACTGTAGTTCCGGTTGAAGAAGTTGCCGTACATGAGACTCGAGATTTAAATGTTGAATTTTGGCCACTTTTTTCGGGAGGATGGCATGGAGGATAAGCTTCCACATCGATTCCCAGTCTTTGCAAGATACCGGTATAACCAGTTTTACTGAACACACTTCTGTTGTCGAAACTCTTTTCTATTAATTTTTCAATCGCATTCAACACAGAAGTAGGTTCACTTTTTTTACACGTTTTATTATTTAGAGAATTTTCAAGGTCTTCTTCTTTTGAAGTGCTATTTTCAGAATTTTCACATGTTGGCGATTTGATAAAGCGAGACATTTCTTCTTTAGGTGTAGCGTCATTAGACTGGACTTTTATAGCATAATCTGATTTTGATTCTTTTACCACCTCATTCTCAGAAACCATTGCAGTAAGAGCATTTTTCAGAATGTGGTGCGATCTGGGGCTCTGGGCACAGTTTTTTATATGTGTTACAAAATCTTTGGCTTCTACTTTTTCAGCACATTCTTCACATGTAATCATACCACTAACATTTTCACTCTTGGACTTCGATTGCTCATTTTGTTCTTTCGACACATTCATTTTGTTCATTTCCATTCTTTCTAACTGTAAAAGTTTTTTAACAGGCAGAGATTTTTTCCTCCTCTCTCTAGTTTGTTTGCGTCTTACACCATCTTCTGTGACAGAACGTAGGATATGTTCTTTGTAATGAGTGTTCTTCATCATATGGTAGCTCAGTTCCTTCAGACTACCAAACACCTGGTTACAAACCTTACAAGTCAATACGGCATTTAACTGCGACTGTGAAGTAACCTTATCAACTGGAACTTTCCAGGATATGATTTGTTCTTGACTAATAATATTATTATAGTGCTGAGTAACTCGCATATGATTTGTCATATCTGCCAGAGTTTTGAAGGACTGTCCACACCACATGCATTTCAGAATCTGTCGAGTTTGTTCTGCTCCTTTACCTAGCCAAACATCTTGCCCTCTCACTAATTTTCGCGGAAGTGGCATGCTTTCTTTTATTACCAGACTGTTGTCAGTACTGGAAGTTGAGCATTTAGCAACTGAAGATGGAGAGTCACCGAAGATATTGGTGTTCGGAGATATTGACGGCACAGGCGCCATTCCACACTTAGGACTCTGCTGCATATGAACAGCCATTTCAGACAAACTTTTAAAAGGGTCTCTGCACCAAACACAAGTGAATACCTCTTTCACTGGTTCCACAATTTTATTAATCCATTGGTTCTTCCAGGGATTATGTCTACTTCCTGTACGGATTCCCTGCATTTTGGTAACCGTATGACATAATGCATTCATCTTGTCAAGAGCATTGGCCATGTTAGAAGTATTGAAGCTAGGACTTAGTAACTGGCTTTGAGCACTTGACGTTTGCAGATGAGGTTTTGGCACTGGACTATGAGATGTTCTAGAATTAACTCTAGGGGCCTTTGAACCTTCCAAATATGATATATTTTCATTCCACGATATATGATCTGAAGAGAAATTGAGAGATGAGTAACTCGTTGCTGAAGTATTTATTGGGGAGGGAGTTTCAACACGAGCTAACTTCAATTCTTGAAAACAGTTTTCTGTACTCTTCCTCCTGTTAGGGACGGAGAGATCGAGGGGTTCATTCTGTGATTCAGAGGGAACTCCATTAAGCAAGGAGCAAGGTGATAAGTTTAAGGATAAGGTGGAAGATTGGTTTTGACTCCGGAGACTAAAATCAAGGGGTAGATCTTTTGCCATTGGTCCAGTCACTAAATAATTTCCGTCTAAAGTAAAACATCTAGACTGGCAACCACTTGTGGAATCCAAACTGCTTTCTTTAGAAGAGTAAACAACACTGCCGGTTTCGTTCCCATTAAGCTCGATGGGAGTGCTCCGCCCTAGCTCCATGGGGGAAGGAGTGACGTCATTTGAGTGTGTGGACTGGTTGTTTGTTTCCGATTGTTCAGATAAATCATAGACAGCGTCCTGCCCATTACATCCGGAGGAGGGACTTTCACCTCCTGCTATCTCCAACTTCTGGCCACCTCCATCTTCCCCTGTAATACAGAATAAAAAAGTCAGTGAGTGTTTTCTCTTCAGGGGACATAAATTAACAATACGTTTAACATCTGCCGGTAACTCTGTTTCAGAGGCTCTCGCAAAGAGCTAATATAACTTTCAAACCAAGTATTCAACAGCTTTTTAGTAGCTGTATACAATAAATAGCAATTTGCATGAAATGCCTATCCCTCAAGCTTAGCTGGCTAAACCTTCTCTATTGACCATAAAATATATTCCGAGCAGTTTAAATGTGGTAACACGTATGTTTCACAAGTCATAAGAAATGATATGTTTGATGTTTTAAAATTGCGGGAAGAAAGGATCAGCACCATGGAGGAGTATTTTGTTCCCTCTTGAACAATGTTCACTCTCAAGTCTACCTCACTTTTATTTTACAATATCTGCATAAAAATATCATGAAGTATTCCAAGCCCCCAGAAGGGTTCTCTGAAGCATCAACTTCATGAAACAAGGGTGCAACATTACAATTCTTACAGCTCCTAAATCTCCATACTATAAAGAAGCTTAGGGTTGGGTCATGGGAATGAGTGAGAGCGTGTGTAATACAGTAGCATGGCAAATACAAAATATTGAACAAAGAAAAATGTTCAAAATTTATCGTGTGTAATCTATTAACTTTATTTTTATTTGTGACCCCTAAGTACCATTAATTTGTCGTGAATATCGTCACGATCAAACAATAAATAAAGCTGAGAGAATAAGAAATAGTTAATAATTAGAAAGTAAAAAGTACAAGTTCTTCATAAATTTATTAAGAATGTTTTAAATTAAAAGAGACGTAATTAATTTTAAGAATGTAATACGAGAAAATCAGTGAACATAAATCCGTGGCTGATGAGAAGAAGGTCCTACTAAAATTAAAATTTAACATTAAATTTTATTTTTAAACCAGCGATGTATAAAAAAAAGTTGAGTATACTTGCTGAAGAAAACAAAATTGTCTGTTCACGCAAAATATATTTACAAAGAAATATAAAATTACCTTTAGAAAATCGGCAATCATGGGCCCTATCGAACTTATACATATACGATATTAACAAATAATTTAAATGTCCATTATATAGGATATACTTAAAGAAAAATTTGAATGATAATTAGATGGAAGAAAACTAAATAAGAACATACGATGACTACTCATTGGCAGGCATAATTATCAAATGATATATAAATGATATTTAATAAGAGCTGAAAAAAACTTTAATAGCTACATGTTACTAGTATAAGATATAACTTATTCTTTGGATGGTAGCGTATGGTTGAATCCATATTCAAACATAGGTGGAAGCCACGTAAAACTTCCACTTTCCTTGTGGGATATTTGCACATAGCTATCCCTAATTTTGATTTGTTTCTTTGTAATTTAGCACAAAGCTACACAATGGGCTATCTGTGCTCTGCCCGCCACGGTGTCGAAACCCGGATTCTAGCGTTGTAAGTCCGCAGACATACCGCTGTGCCTATTGGGGGGGGTCTTAATTTTGAACATTATCCACCACCAAATCTTGTCTAACAGAACAGTATGTTTTAAACATCACTCTTGTAGCCCACCCGCGACCCCAAAGAACACTTTTTGGAGACAACGGGATGAAAACTCGGAACTCTCGGATTCACTGTCCCGGAAAATTAACCAGTAGGTCATGCCACACCCATAATGTAATGATAAAGATGTTCGTGTTTCAAGATATACCTTAGAGCAGTAAATAATATTCACCCAACGCGCTATTCCATTTAGTCATGAACCAAAGCTCTTTCATTATAATCAAATAACCAGAGTATATCTTTTAATATTATAAGTTATTAATTGTTTTTTCTATTATTTATATTTATTGTTTGTTTGTTTGAAGTTAAGCACAAAGCTACACAATGAGTTATCTGTGCTTTGCTCATCACGGGTATCGAAACCCAGTTTCTAGTGTTGTAAGTCCGTTGGGGGGAATTTATATTTCTAAATACCTTAAAAACGATTTTAATTTGTTTGATCTTACTAATGGAGTCTCATTAATACGCATTCACGAATTATGGTGATAGTTAAGACAGGAGTTAGTTAGTATTAACTAAGGTTTACAATTAACGAATTATTTGAACTAACGTTTCAGAATATTTCAATAAAGAACAATGACGATCTTAATAAAAGTCAGTAATAAAAGTTCTTGGCGGAACAGGGGTAAAGTGTATGTGAATTTAAGATGAGTAATAGTACACAAGTGTTATTTATTTTACGCAAGTAAACACAACCAAGACAGTCTGTGAACAATACAATGGGAATTTGTGCTTGTTTCATCCGTCGGCAAACAAAATCATCAATGAATTAAATGGGTGATTTTGTTACGTCTTTGATTCAAGTGTATTTCGGTTTAAATGAACGCTGGGTTCAATAAATTGTTTTGCCCCTCAGTTGCCTAGCGGCAAGTCTGGTGGATTATGACGCTAAAAACCTGATTTCTTGGTGGGCATAGCCCATTGTGTAGCTTTGGGCTTAACAGCAAACAAACAAACAAACTACAGATCTTGCGTAAAATATCTGGATAATTAGGTAATGAAAAGCTTTAAAGAAATTAGTAAATAAACAAGAGTAATTATTCCGTTTTCATGAAATAAATGGAGATTGTAAGAAACCATCGTAATGGGAATACCTAGAAACATCTTTATCTAATTGACTAGTCAGTAAAAAAAACAACAAAAACATGGGTGTATTTCATAAAAGAAGTAAACCTCCTTTTGAAAGATACACGGGCATACATATTTTCTAATAATGGCACGTGTCACACTTAACTACATCTTGCTAATTTCGTGTAGTATAAAACTTTGAGACGTAAGTAAGATAACAATATTATCTAAGTACATTATTATTATCTTTTGGAATGAATATAATAACTTCAGCTCAATAAGTTGCAGTAATCATGGTTCCAAAACGGACAATTACTATATCTGAAACACTGCAGCGCCTCCTCTCGACACATTTCACGAAATACCTTGATTATAAGCATCTCGCAACAGACAAAAATGGGTAAATGCGAGTCTAACACCTTCAAAAGCCACAAGGTCATCGAATGGGCCAGTCAGTTATCCTCTTTCCTATACACGTTTAACAAAGATCACTTCCAGCATTTGTCATTCACTAATGGGTACACGAACCTCGTTTTTACCCCTGCTAGCAGGTCTGTGTACTTACTTGACAGAAACTGGGTGGGCTGTTGGTGAAATATAGAGTTCGCTAATGATCCATGGCGAATTGTCAATTAGATGTCTTTGCTAACTCCTGGAAAGTCTGCAGAACTAATGGTTCAGGTTTACTTTTCACACATTTATAAAACTGAGCTTGTGCTTGTGACAGACCCTTGCTTGTTATTTTACAACCCAACCGGAATACTGTAGAACACAAAACAAACAGCATGGAATAATGTGAAGTTTCACGTGAGTATACAATCAGCTTTCATAGTTTCACAGCAAAATTTCTGTAGTGAATAAATTATATTTACTGCCAAATATTAAAAATAAGTTTTAATTATAATATTTTTTGTTTTAGATATAATAGTTTTGGTATTTTGAATTTGTTATATATCTGGTTTTTGTATACCTTCGTACTGGAAAAATACTGAATTTGATATATTGTTGAGTTTTCGTTTTGAATAATATTATATATGTTGACTATATTTTTCTAGCAGTTAATTGTTTACAACCTTAACTTGACGTAAACACATTTTTGGCGTTAATTGTAGGGGGGCTCGGTGGATAATTTACTGGTTTTGGTAATCTATTAAAGGAATTTTAAGTTATTTTTATGGTGTGTACCATAGATTATTTTTGGAGCTTCATCTGCACAGGGGAGAGTGAGGATCAATACAGATCTTGTTTTTACGGTATATTTGACCTGAGGATGTATTCATTCACACACACACATACATACTTACAAGACTACAAGAGATAAACAGAAGTAGTAACAGGTGGAACAGAGAGCTAGCATGTTGCTGTGTTTACATGTCGTAAACATAAAACTATTTTCAAGCTGAGTGTAATAGATAAATATTAATAGATATCACACAAATGAGTACACTTCGTTAACTAATGATGCCTTAAAAACTTTGAGCTTTTTTATTTCCTCGCTCGGTTTGTTGTTTAATTAAACGTAAAGTACACATGTGCTCGTATTCGTTTTTCACAGCTAACCACGTTCGCTGTCAACAAGCATAAAGAAACGGCAGGAACTTTTATATAAATCAGGTTGTTAAAATCGTGCATTAGTTAAAATAAAAGATAAAAATAATCGTTGTACTTCGGTCATACGTAACTAAAATACCTTTCGAACAAAAACATCATTACGCCCATTCTTGTTCACATGTACAGATGCGAAATAAGATCTTACTTTCAAGACTAATTTATGAAATGTTCTCCTGGAGTTATATCTGAATAGTTATTTAATGGAAGTATTTAGGTAGCTAGTAGACTAACTTCTGCAAACTGACTATATTTTTTTCTATACTGTGCCATGTAGACTATCCCAGAAGGCGAAGCATCAACTCTATTAGGGTATCAAGTGTGATGAAGCATCACAGTAGGACTAGAAAATAACAGTTTGAAACACTTCACGTCTAACTGGCCGGCCCAATACAGATTACCAGTAAGAAGCATGTGTAATATCATTCTTATTAAATATCGCCGATGAAGAGGCTCTTTGATCAATATCGGAGCTCATCAGGTAGGCTGAATGCGAATAGGTAAAGTTGTAATTAAAACTCTAATCACAATATTCATCTATAAAACTCATTTGACCAAAAGTTGCGCAGCATTATTCATGTTAAAATGGAACATAATAACACAGTAGAAATCATTTTAAGATAATACCTTGATCTATATGAATTATATGGAATATATTTTTAGTCGTGTTTTAACTATAATGGACATGAATTGAAGTTCTGAGAAAGGGTCTTTACAACTTTTAAATATATTTGCCCGGAAAAAGGCTTCCCAGGATTAA